CAAAAACTACGATCAGAGCGTTGGGTAAAGGATAAATTTTCTCCGACAAACAGTTTTAAATTACAAAAACTTAACTTGCTCGTTAATTTCCAACCTGAGCTTTTGACGTGGGTGGAAAGTTTGGTTGCATTCAATCAGGCATATTCCAACGAAGCAGAATCAATGTTTCAAATTGTGAAGAATTTCGCTTCCGAAATTAATATGGAAGAAGTGTTTTCAATAATGACAGAAGATCCAAGGTGGGAATATGTTGCTGAGCATATTAAAGGTGACCTAAATATCCCTCTGAAAGCTAGAATATTACCAAGTCTGTTACGCAAACTCATGAGGCTTGACCTGACAGGACCAAATATTTTGAAAAGCAACGACTTTAAGCAATGGCTGGAATACTCGGTCTTTTTCAATTTCTTAAAAATCCCCTCTTTGGAAGACCAACCCGTGTTAACAATTCTTAAGACAACAGTGAAGACAAACACAAAGACTTTGATCGAGCGTTTAAAGCAGGCAACTAAAGTTGAAGCTATAACGCCGTGGAGACACCAAGTGGGAAGGTTAATAAAAATACCTTCGACCGAAGAAGGCCAATTGATAAGCGCATGGTTAGATTATGTCTCCACTCTCGAATACCTGCCTCTTGGCTGGAATGTGGCTACTATGTACAGGACTATCTATCCAGAAAATGATCGTTTCTTAAGCCTTGCTTCGACGCATTCACATTCCCATGGTTCCATAGAAAATACAGCGCTAGTAGTCCCGGAGCTTGAAAACGCTGTGAAGGATACACAAGCGAGGCTTGCTAATTTATACAAGTCTAAAGAGGACAAGAGAGCAAAAGATATAAGCTTTTAACAAATCGAATAAAAGCGAATATGCTGCAAGATTAACCTTTCGTCTTTCTATCTCATTTTCCATCAGACTGCCATTGTCTCCAAAATGTGATAATTGATTTTTTAACGACTGACGCTCTAAGCGATATATTACGTGGAAATTCCGACCCAGAAAAAGATGCGTAAATCCCGCGGGCTGTTAGCCTTATTTCATGCAATACATAGACCTCAATTATTTAATCGTGAAATTGATACTTTTATACCAGTAGTTCAGATTTGACTTGAAGATGAGTATATTCGCTTTTCACGAGAGGTATCTAGTCAGGTTCTCGGTTCCTGAAAGCATACATATTAATCCTCTTTGCTTTTATTGACGTGAAATCATTGATTCAAAGCTACATCTTCGCGAGGTGCACAAGAAATCGGTTGCATGGTAGCTTTTGTTCATCTATCCGATAACCGAGTTCAATATATTGTATCCTCTTTGAGGATGGAACGCGAGTTGTCCGACTATCTGTTCCCGGAATAACTGGACACGCTCACTTAGTTAATGTCTCCAAGCGTTAAGGCAATTGAGCGGCCGATGAACCGGAAGCGATGATCACCCGCACGATGTCGCTGACGAGACATCTCCTCGAACGCGTGTTAGTAGGCGTAGTTCCAACCCTCAATATTGAATGGGTAACGGGGTTACATATACCCTGGTAACGGGTGTGTGTGTCACACCAGATGGATATGGTGTGACTACACCCAAACAAGAATACGATTCGGGTTAGATAGCCAGTTGTTATACGTATATTTAGATTTAACTATATATATACAGAGAAATTTCTAGTTTTAAAATTAGGCGGTTTAGCCGCAAAGAAAAATAAATAAAAAGCAGTCTTGAATTTTAAACCGAAGAGTCAATTAGCCTTGAAAAGCAATAATTACTCTTGGAGTAAGTGGATTGCGATCCACTAACTCGTACTTGCTCTAAATATAGAACGAAAGATCGGTGACCTAAATTACGCTTCCTCAAACGCTAAGCTACGGCAGCCCCGCTGCACTTGGTAGCACCTGTAGTCAATTTACACCTGAGTCGTTTAGACTGATCCTCTACGAGGAGTGAGAATGGAAGAAGTTCGTTGCCCCAGGGCATGCAGGACGGGCTTAACAAGCTGATGTCCTTGCTGGGCCCTGAGGGCGTGCAACACCTTGCGAAGAAAGGCCCCGAGGCAATCGTGCGCGTCTAGAGGCGTTTTCAAAATACGAAAACGCGCTGCTAGAGCACCTGCAGCAGAAGATGTCTTCATCATTTGCGTCTCTGACGCCACCGTCAGTGACGGACGACTTCCCCGGCCCTAAGTCGCTCATGGTGAGCGTTAAGGTCTTTGAGGGAAGAATCTCCTGCTCTGGATGAGAGAGGTCGAGATGGCCATCGCATCCGCCATGCTCCAGACTGAGCAACAGCGCGTGGCGCTAGCCATCTCAAAGCTCGGTGATCAAGCGCGATAATAGGCACTGACGTGCGGCACTTCGATCGAAGTTACGTTTCCCTCCTGGGCGGAGCTGATATTGCAGCTCTCACGAGAGTTCTTGCCACCTAATCAGGCATATCGCGTACGATCGCGTTTTCTTGCCGCCTAATCAGGCATATAGCGTGCAATCGCGTTTTCTTGCCGCACGACAGGGCAACAAGGAACGGACTCCCTGAATCGATTGTCTCTGACAGAGGCCTCCGTTTCACGGGAGTAGTTTGGTCGACTATCTTCGAGGTGCTCGGCACTAAGTTGGATATGTTAACAGCGGTTAATCCGCAGACTGATGGTCAAACCGAAAGGGTGAAAAGCATCATTGGAGACGTTCTTCGCAGTGTG